GTCTAACCCTTCCACGTTGGCCCCCCACGACCCCTCACGATAGGAGGAGGAGGAGGGGGAGGGAGGTTAGGGCTTAGCAGTTAACGCCGCAACTCTGTCCATCCAGCGGTACAAATGTGTCCACCACAGGCGGTCGATGTTGCAGGCCGCGTGCGGTGGGGCAAATTGTGGGTACTCTCATCCCTTCCACGACATACTGGCATGGACGACGAGGCCAAATGCCTTCTCGAGGGGCTCTACAAGCGACTGCCTTTCAATTGCCCAGGTGACCTCAAAGTGCACCTAGCCTGGCACCGCCCGGTAATGTCCTTCACGCGCCTCCTCGACAGAGATCGATCTTGACACATCTCTTGATAAGGCTCAATCGCGCTCCCTTTTAGTTGAGGCCCTCATCCGTCAGCAGTGACGAGATAAAGCAGTTTAACACGTCGGCTTTCGCGACCAATATTCATAATAAAGGTTATTTTGGCGTAGATCGCGTAAATATATAAATGTGTGGTTAGAACCCGCCACCACCCGACACAGCCAACTAGTACGGGTTGAACACGTAAACAGAACGTGCCAATTCGTCACTAGTGCAGCACACCGGTGTGTTGGAGAGCCAAGCCACAACATAAAGTATTTGCAGGGGCTGCGCCTCTAATTTTTTGAGTGTGAATCCGGACCACTGCCGCTATACCTCACTCCGACACAAGGCGGCAGCATCGCATTGACTCTTGAACGGAGAACGAACTCAACGCGCTATCGTAACTTTTATCAATCCAGTAAGTCGTTTTCTTTCGCGGATATTTTTTTTCCCTCGCGAAATTCATTTATTCGCGGTTAACAAAAAAAATGTGTATACCATTTCAAATTTCGCGCCCTTCCGCCCCCCCCTCGACCATTCGCGAATTGGTAAAGTGTCATCATGGGGACTTGCTGAGTGGGTGAATCGTGGGGTCCGTGTGTGGTGCACTCAATCCATCTTGTGTACCACTCACAAGCAAAGACCCCTTGCTGTGTGCACCTCGAGGTGGCGTATCTTGAACGCGCAAGGACACCGCCACGTTGATGTGTCGGGGTAAATAAAACTTCCAAATTCACGGTATAAATGTGTGTGCATGGGTTTTGCTTTGTTTACGTATTCTATTTTTGTTGCATTATTTGTGTTATATTTTTGTACTGTTGTACAATTTAATTAAGTACATTATGGGGATGTAACTGCCCAGGATTCATGTTATGATACATTTTAATTTTCTGCGGTACGTTCACTCGGATACGGGAACCTCACCACCCACCCATCCCCCTGTTTCCCCAAACGTAGAACAGCATCGACGTTTGTGTTTCTATTTTCGCGCAGATTCCCAAGAACCTGACCCTCGTATTCCGCGGGTTGACTCATAAAGGCATCACCCAGTCTCGTCACTCTTTGTCTTAATGAAACTTTGTATTTATTTATTTTACAAGTGAAGGTCCACTGAGTTTGTAATACAGCTCTTTTATCAGAAGCGACCTGGCCACCACAACTGATAGCCCGACGAAGTGGCTTGTCACGTGGAAAGTGATATCAGCCAAATACTCTTAAACGCGTGTTTCTAAACGTGTAGCGGGAAAAAAAACTGGAGGGACCGGAGAAAAAATCCACGCGACCACGTGGCGAGAGGCACACAAACTCCAAACATACAGCAGGCAACAGGATCGGGCTCGAACCTACGACCTCCTGTATACCAGGCGAGGGAGTTAACATCTCACCACCGTAGTGCCACAAGGAGGGTCCTGCCAAATTGTTTCGCAGCAGTTGGCGATGGTGGCTTTGTGTGTGTGCGTGTGTGTGTGCGCGCGTGTGTGTGTGTGCGTGTTTCTGCGAGATGCCACTCTTGAGTCGTTTCGCGGGGACTATTTCGACAACGTGGACCGTGACACGCCGTCACACAACGGCCGAACGACGTCACGGGATCTTAGTGAAGCAGACGGGAGCGTGGGGTTCACGGTTCACAAAGACCACCCCCCACCCCCGTACAGCCTGTAACAGACTGTTGGGGCAAGCGCTGTTAGCGAGTAGCACCACCTAAGAGGGCTGGGACGGCACACGAGGTGGTGGGTGGCCAGCACCACGCCCGACCGCCTTTGTCTCCCCGGTGGCGATGTTTACACACCGCACCAGGTACTCATTTGAGGCTGAGTCGACCTAGGGGAGGCCCAGGACCGGTACAGATAATCGTCGCCGGTGTTGACCGAGAGCTGGGAATCGAACTCGAATCGCCGGGCTCATAGCGCAGCGTAGCGCTAACCGCTACACTACCACTACGGTTCACACACAGACACGCACACGCTACAGTGATAACCGAGGCGGCCGCTGGATTCGAACCGTCAGCCTCTGCTACACGTTAGTTAATCACCACTGGGGCCTTCACATGAGAATGTATACGAGGCGACGTTTCAGACGATCACTCTTCTTCACAGCACTTAAGTTCACGAATAAATTGAACGTCGTGGAGACCGTTGGCAGACAATAACAATCTCCTCCCTGCTGTTCGCGACCGGTATTATCCATAATAAAGGGGTTTTTTTCTCTAAATATAAAGTAGTTGTTTGTGGGTTTATTCTCCAACACACCGGTGTGCTGAAGTAGTAACTAATTCTCACGTTTTGTTCACGTGACAAACCCTTACTAATTGCCTGCCTCGGGTGGTGGCGGGTTTAACGACGCATTTATTTTTACGCGATCTACGGCCAACCACCCCACAGATACCCCCCGCAAATCACTCATTGCAGCTAAACTTCACGGCAACATCGCTCCCCGACTCGCGGCAGGCGACGAATGACCGCTTGCAAGCCGGGGCCGCGGCCACCCTCGACCCCACGTGGACCGCTGCCACTCGAGGTCGCCCCTGGCTGGAGTGGGCCGGTCGCGACGGAGTGCTGACGCACGTTGCCCAGGCGTGTAAGCCAGCGGCCTATGCGTACGTGCAAATCCTCCTCCGAGAAGAATAATACCGAGCAGGCCGACGTTTCAGGCACCGGGCCTTCTTCAGAGGCGAGAGGACAAACGGGATTGATTGAATCTTGATCAGGGGTCGGCAACGAACACAACAAGAGCCACCATAATGCACTGTGGATGAATGCGAGACGTGGGGGGGGGGGGAGTCCTTAATAAATAACGCCACGAAGCAGAAGTCCTTAGAGAGCCGCGAGTTTCAGATCCCCGACCTTGATTCACCACGGACCTGTCCATGCCTCCCACTTATCCATTCTCACTCTTACTCCCCTCCAACGCACCTCTCCAAAACACTCCCCAGGGAGGGAGATGGTTGAGATAGGGCCCCGAAAGTGAAGGGCTGCTGTTGACTTGAACGGGCCCCTTGGCCATTACCCATCATCCCACAGCAGCTGCCGCCGTAATCTCATCGCCTGCGCTGACACTGAAATCGCAGCTTCGGCGGAGGGGTGAACTTCCACGAAAGGGGGCTGCTCTCTCTGATCCACACCAGACACCCGACCACGTGCACGACTGTAGATTACTGGACATGTGACAAAAACAAGTTTATTAGCTCATCAGATTCCTTAAGTATATAATGATTTTGAAGTCAGAGGCTTCCTGCTCAAAGGTGCATCGATGCGGTGGTGTTCATCTAAACTGAAACTAGAAACGTTTATTTTACCATGGTGCAAATTGCACATTGCTATGGCACGGTGCGGTCTATTCAAACGACCACTGTTGACTCACCCCCCCACACGAGTGGCACTCATTTTTATCGACCCAGGTAAAAGTACGATGGGCCCAGAGTCAACCCTCAACCGGGCTTTGAACTTGCCACCGTCCCCAAACGGGGAGCTTTCCATGCGTTTCTGAGCAACGTTGTGGTTACAGGAGGGATGGGTGCGTGGTGGAGGCGCGGGGGCAGAAATAGGCCTCATGAGGCCATGGCCAAACTTAGCGCGCAGCTGTCACGGTGCCGACAGGAGCGGGAGGGGTCCACGTGACACGGCCTGGACCCTCACCCCCCCTTGGCCCCAACCCCGCGCAGGGCCAGGTGAGAGGCTGCCCCCACTCCACCCAGATCTAGACATCCCACGGGGGTGGGGAAACTTGCCCCAAAACCTTAAGCTTCAAGCACAAATACTCGGCCATATATTGACTCCCAGTTTCAGCCCGACCACATATCCCACTGCCGAGTTGGAAATCGATCTTGTCTTTGAGAGCTGCGGTCTTTGGTGCAGTTATTGGCCGACAGGCACCAAATGGCCATGTGCTCACTCCGAAGCAGCCAAAAACTTAAGATTGAAATCCAAGATATCAGCTTCACCTCCGGTCACACCAAGCATGATTTCCTCGAAGTATCGTCCGCTGCTGTGGAAGCAGACGCAGTGACCCAAACCAAAAGCTCAGGACCGGACCACAAGCACCTAAAGGGACCCTCGATGCTGGATATTAGCGGTGCCAGCTTCACCCCGAGACACATGTTTACTTGATTTTTTTGCATTGGTGGAATTTTTCATTTCCTAAACATCATTAATCTCAAACTAAATTATTTTTATTTTACCAGGCAAGGCCGACTGAGCTACATAGCTCTTTTTCAGAGGCGACCTGGCCACAAATAATAGCTTACCATGTGGAAATGTATAGCAGCCAAATAGTCTAAAATGCGTGACATTGATGCTACATGTGGAGGAAAAAACCGGAGGATCCACAGAAAAGTCTACACCACCAACAGGGAGAACATACCAACTCGAAATACACATGGGTGAGGGGTCGGGGGGTGATGCGGAACTGGAGGGAGGAGTTGGGCTGGGAGAGCAGGATGGAAGGCCCATTTGTCCAGGTCTTCACGAGTCCGGAAAACAAGGTGGAAGACTTAAGACCATCAATTCCATGACTTTATGAAGTCGGTTCCAATAAAAATAAAACAAATTAGCACCCCCCCCAACCCTCACTTACTCAAGCCAACGTGATGAGTACTCTCAGCAGCATACAGCCACCCATGGAGGATAAGAATTTGCATTCACAGGAGACTCGCAGGCAGGTTTAAACGCACGTTACTCAACCTTTATTTTGCCTTGTGCACGTGTTGACAGTTTCCACAAAGGGTAAAAAAAAGAGTTGTTTTGAACTCTACTAAAATCCAAAGGAGGTACTTTCTGGTGGTACGCAAAGTTATTACAAACGGTGACAGGTATAAAGATTTCAGTCTTGGTGTTAAGAGCTGATTTAAAAATGAGACGCGGAGAGAGAAGGCCAATGAGAGAACGCTGGCGATGGTGAGGTCAACAGTGCCGGCAAGGATTGGGTCTCTGCCTGCCCGTCCGTTCCTGCTGGGATGAGGCCATTGGCCCCTCCGCTTCCTGTTCACGCACACACCACAAAAGACAAAGGTTTTCCCACGTTAGAGCCTTGACAGACTGTTGGGGCAAGTGCAGTCAGAGAGGAACCCGGTGCGGCTCACAAAGGGGGTTGTGGTGTGGTCAGAACCACCGCCCTGCGGAACTTCGTCTTCCCAGTGCTGATGTTTCACACACCGCACCAAGGTACGCATTTGAGGGCGAGTCGACCAAGGGGAGGGCCCAGGGCCGGCTCAGATAGCCGCTGGCACTATTATTTTACGTGAAGAACTTCTGCGCCGCCCGTAGCCAACTGTGCTAATTGGAGACTAATTGGTCGCGGGAAGGGAAATCGAACTTGGGTGGCCGGGTTCGAAGCACAGCGCGCTAACCGCTGTGCCACCGCTCCCCACTACACAGTTTTCAGTGCCAACTACCAGCATAACCAAATGGCAAGAGTTCAGTTCCACCAACTATACACAGCCTTGGAGAAATAATTCAAAAGTCAAAGTTAATTGGGAGGGGGGGGGGGCTGGCTCATTTCATTCCAGTTACAATTGACCACACGCACGATGCTGCCCTTAAGCGAGCAAACAAACACGCCGTTCTACAATCGAGCTGATCGCGAGAACCTGGACTTACTGGCGAGCCGAATCAGAACTGGCACGATACAAAATGCTTGGTTCGAGCGTGTTTGGTGGTGGAGGGGGTTTCACAACAAAAAAATTGGCAAGATGATAAAGACGACGAGGCCCAACAAAAATCTATTCGCCTGCGAAAATCTCCCGTGTTGGAACGATGCCGTTCATAAAACTGCGAAACGTGCAGGGGCCGGGCGAGTATTTTTATTTAAAGCTCATTTCGTTTTCTCCACGGGGGGGGGTGGGATTGGACCCAGGAAGGGCTCCAAAATCGGGGGCCCTCCACCCACTTCTTCACACCTTGATGGAGTCATTCAGCAGCAGCAGGCGGCTCGGACGGCGCCGCCGCCACCGCTGGGGATGGTGGCGCTGCGGCGGCGGTGGCCTCTCCCCCTGCGGACGTGGCGGTCGTGGTGGTCGTGGCGGAGGCCGCGGTGCCACTGCCGCTGGTGGTGGTGGTGGTGGCTGCGGCGCCGCTCGCCTCCCCTCCGCTGCCGGCCGCGGCCTTGCCGCCCTCTCCGGCGGCGGCACCTCCTCCGCGCCGCGCCCCCCGGCCTCGACCCCGGCTGTAGTACGGCCGGCGGAAGTTCTGCTGCTGCTGGGCACGGAACGGCCTCTCCTCTCCGGCCTCGTTCTCCTTGTCCTCGGCGCCACCCTCCCCGGGGGGGCCGGCGCGGGGCCGCACGGGCCCGCGCCTACTGCGAGGGTCGCACGGTGACGTCAGTACGGTCGCACGGTGATGCCAGTAGCGGACTGTACGTGCCAGCGGCGGGCGGTCGGCACGCACCAACGCGACCGTCCACGGACAATGTTCCCAAGACACTAACAACGACTCCGTACATCAACACACGCGACATCGCACTGGAGAACCGTTAACCACGTCCCCATCGACAGCCACCACCCAGACACGACCAGATTACGATTCATCACCACAGCCAGTGATTAAAGGACCTTCCTAGCTCAATGGGGCTTTACCTCAACTAATCTCTTTATCAGCAAACTTTAATGCCAAACGGTCCCATGTCTGTTATCAACAAAGGTCCCATCAAAACACCTGTTAAATGAAGATGACCAAACATCCCAAAAATAGGCCTACAGAGCATGGGCAATTGATGTCGTTACGGCTTCTTTCTGCATTCAAGCTTGCCTGTGGATTCCGGCCCTTCCTTCCGAAAGGGGGAACAACACCAAGGGCACGCGGAGAAAGCCCCACGCATTGTGAAGGGGAAACACACTATTCCAACAGCTGAAGTCCAGATTTTTTTTTCTATACTGGCTTCTCCCGGGCGAACCAGGGGTTCAGTGCTGGGTTACAGGCGTGCGTAGCTGCCGCCACTGCCCGGCTAAATTTATGACCAATGACGATGCCAAAAGCGACACGTAATCACCGGAGGAGCGAGAGCGTGCAATCGTTTTGGAGACCCAGCCCGTTGTGTAACCGGGACACACGATCTTAATGTCCACTGCTGATTCCCCCCCCACCCCTCACTCAACTCCCAGCCACTTCCCCAGTACCTGCGGTAGGGGCGAGTGAAACCGCGGCCGCCTGGGCGGCGTGGTGGAGCCGTGCCGTCCACTCCGGCGTCACCGGCGCCTTCCTCGCCCTCGCCAGCCTCGCCGCCCTGTGGGGAGGTGGGGTACAACACAAGGCACGCGTGACCATTGCAACGACATCACAGCCGCTACCAACGGAGACAACAGCAAACCACCACACGTTCACCATATTTACAGAAAACAATACTGTAAACCACACGCAACACGCCAAATAATTGAACTACAGCAACCGCTAACATCTACATCAACCACAGGAGATGACAACCACTACAACCATACGTGCAGGAAAACCTGGGCTGCACGGGGAATGCGATACGGGGGACTGGATTGGGCTGTGCGTGGCGGCGATGTCTCTGTTTGGGAGACCGTGGCGAGTGAGACTGCGCTCTGGAGATTGGGCTGGACAGGGTTAGGAGATGCGTGCTTGAGACCGGAGCGAGTTGAGAATCATAATCTTCATTTATACTGGAGGAATCCGATTAACTATAAAGCTCTTTCACAGATGTCCAGCAGTTGACATGGACAATAGCGGAGCTGTGCAAGGCCAGGGCTCGTAGTCGTGCCACCTCTGCGAAAATGGGCATGTAGACAGGGAAAGCATCGGAGTTATCCCCTGTGAGGCAGTGGAGCTGGTTGTGCAAGACTGGGCTAGATGAACAGCGAGGCTGGGCAAAGAGTGGATCCACCTCTAGACACTGGGCTAGTAGACGGGGCGAGCGAGGGCTGTGCGAGGCAGGGGTGGGGTGGTGGGTGACGCTTACGTAGTAGGGCGGGTAGCGACGGCCGCGGTAGGCGGGACGTCGCGTCTGTGTCTGGTACCCGGCCTGGTCGTCCTCCTCCTCCAACGCCTCCTCGGCTCCATCGCCGCCCTCGCCACCCTGAGCGGTGCGGCACGCACGCCCAGCACCGCACACGGCAAACAGTCACTACCACGACGCCGAGACGGCAACCGATACGGGGCAGCATCGCAGTCCGCCATGGAAGGCGGCAACACCATCAGCACAGACGCGTTAAGCACCGACAAAACAACACCGCAGGCCACTACTCGCACAACGCCATTACGTTACCACAACACCATTACAAGCCACTACAACAGTTTTAACACCCAGACAACACCGTGGCGACACTACAACAACCGCACACGACATTGTATACAAAACAGCGCAACACAGACAACGTAGCTACAACATCAGGTGTCAACAGCTACAACAACACCGTGATACGAAAGCAACACTGTGGTCTGCTGGCGGAACTGTGTGCCGCTGCTGTTTCTGAGCGTTGCTGGTGGAGCTGTGGGCGGCTTGCTGGCACAGCAATCGTCCACTGGTGCAGATGCAGGCTGCTGGTGGTTAAGCGAGTGTGCTGGTGGTTAAGCGAGTGTGCTGGTGGTTATGCGAGTGTGCTGGTGGTTAAGCGAGTGTGCTGGTGGTTATGCGAGTGTGCTGGTGGTTATGCGAGTGTGCTGGTGGTTATGCGAGTGTGCTGGTGGTTAAGCGAGTGTGCTGGTGGTTAAGCGAGTGTGCTGGTGGTTAAGCGAGTGTGCTGGTGGTTAAGGAGTGTGCTGTGGGCAGGCTGCTGCTGGTGGAGGCGAGCGTGGGGCTTTGCTCACATTGCGCGCCCCTCCCCGGCCCCGGCGAGGCCCGGCGTAGTAACCCCCGCGGAAGCGCCGGCGATCGGCCGCGTAGCGGCTGCCCTGCACCGCCGTTCCACCCGGCCCGGTCACATTGGCCGCCTCGGCACCCTGCGCCCGCACGCACACGTGGGATTAACACAAAATACAAAGATCCCCCGTACAGCCTTTAAGTGCTGTTAGCAAACAGCAGCTATGAATGGCTGCACGGCACATGACGGAGTTGGGGTGTCCAGCACCACACCCGGCCACCTTTGTCTTCCCCAGTGTTGACAGTTTACACTGGCACCAAGTACTCATTTGAGTCAGATTCGACCACTACACCATCAGATTACTGTGGGCATGGAGAACTGCACCAATGTTACCGTGTTTGGATGTCGGCGCGAGACAGTCCCTGGGGTCCATTACAACTGTAATCACATCGGTCATACAAAAAGGCCTACAATAAAAATGCAAATGAACGTGTCAGCTAGCAATGCTGCAATTGCAAAAGATGATTGACCCCCGGTCGGGCGCCAGGTTCCAGCGTGCCAAGCGGCGGCCTCACCTTCTCTCCCTCCACAACGTCAAACTCCACCACCTCTCCGTCCCCCACGCTCCGAAGGTATTTCCTTGGGTTGTTCTTCTTGATGGCAGTCTACCCACAACACACGCACATCAGGTCTGTCAATGCGAGAACTCAAAACATTCTTATTTCAGGCATGTTCCCCACTAATGGGGGGGGGGTCTCCACTTTACTGCTGCCTTTCTCCACTCGATCCCGTCCCCATTGAGCTGGTGGTCTAGACGAGGCTGGCGGCGTTGACCGTGTAACGCGTGGTGTCCGCGCGACTCCAGTGCCGCCGTCCTCGCTGCTGCGTGCTAGCGGCACGCCTCTGCTTGTCGTCATTCATCAACTCCCCACCCCCCCCCCACGAATGATTTAGTTGGTCATAAACGCTCCAACTTCCTCGACTCATTCCCGTTCCCGAGCCATCATCTCAACATCCACTCCAGTCGTTCACAGCCTGGCTCACCGCTTCGAGTCACCGTTTTCTAGCCCTGCCTTTGCGTAATGTACACACAACGCGGTGGGGGGGGTCACACCGTCGCATGCAGCCACCGTACGTAGCCAACCAACTGGTTTGCTACGTACGGTGGGAGAAGTTCAAGACACACGACTTCCATGCATGCCATGACGGGGGACTGCTTCCTTCCTGCCGTTTGCGAGCGGCACACCGTGCGTGTCGTCATTTCTCGAGCAAATAAACCATCCGCACAAGACGTCCGCGTCACTCCACAACGGATTTATTCATCTTGCGCGTGGTGCAGAATCGTCGTCACGTGTACAGCCCACAGCGATTTCAGAATAATTATTGAGCTCCTATTCGGGTTAGTATTTTGTCTACCTTGGGGGAGCAGATCATATGTATGCACAACATAGCGGTGAAGCAGGGGTTCACACTGCGCTATAAGCAACGGTGAGACGAGTTCAATTCCCCACCACGGCTAACATCAGTGGCGAGGGATATCAGTACCGTGCCGACCGGCGAGGTCAAGTTTGGCCAAAAAGGTCACATGGGCATAGAGGTCTATAGGCAGCTGACAAAGGACTGATATATCCATTAATATTTAAAGCATCACAATAAAATTAATACGCACAGGATTAAATACGTGCATAATGTTATCAATTGCGTTCAATCGTTTACCATTCTATCGTAGTGCACGACGAGGGTCCAATGCGGGCAGCTCACAATGGGCTGCGCCCTCCGCCAGGGTCAGGCTCTGTCTACTGCTGCGGTACAATGACTCCGGGACCACACGTGTGCATGGAACACGTGTTGTCCAAATTCTCCCCCCCCCTTCCCCCGACAGCCCTGCCCCCACCACTGACCACCTGACCCCATCTCTCCCACTTCTCCCTGCGACTCCACCTCCCCCCGACTCGGGTCTTCGATTACCCAATCTCCCCTCCCCCCCCCCCCTTGCCGCCACCCCCCCCCCCCCCCCCCCCTTACTCATCTCTCCCCACGCAGATCTCCAAACTCTGACTCACATTTCTCTCCCCATCACTCATCTTTGTAGCACCCCCCCCCCCTCCCATTCCTCCAATGCCATCTCTCTCACCCTCCCCACCCCCTGGCTCCACTGCGCCCGTGTCCCCAACTCCCCTTTAACACCCATCTCTCCTGATCCTCAACTCTCAAGCCCCAATTTCCCTTTCAATCCCTAATCTCTTCCTCACAATCCACCATTTCCCATCTCCCCGCGGCCCACATCTCCAACCAGCCACCACCGCGTGATCTTGCCGAGCGCCGCGGCGTGCACGGCTAAACCACTCTCGCTCGTCACCCGCCTCACCTGGTGGACAAAGACATCTTCCTTGGTGTCGTTCCTGCGGCACAAAGCAAGAAGAATCCCTCAGCAAAGACGACGACAAGCAACAACACGGGAGTCCAGCCACTCGAAAAAGACGCCGCAAACCCCAGCCACCCGTCACGGGACCACCAGCCTCAGGGCCCGCATGGTCACGTGGAACAGCCAGCCCCAAAGAACCCACAAAGGGCCGAACGGCCACACGTCATGCCCTTACCGACGCGAGCCCACCACCACCCCCGTCTCATGGGTTTGACCCAATGACCCCATATGACCGAATGACCCCTCCTCCCAGGCTCACCGGTTGATGAAGCCGTATCCGTTTCTGACGTTGAACCACTTGACGGTGCCGAGAACTTTGGTGGCTACGGAAGGGGGGGGGGTTGAGACGAGCGCGCACGACATGTCAAGTGTGTGACCCGGGACAAACATCATTTGGATTTATAAGGCGGCCTTCAACACACGAGCTCAAAAAGCCAAAGTTAAATGTATTAAATATTTCGTCAAGAAAATCAGAGAGCGGGGGTTAGGTCTGTCCATTGACACACAGCAGACACCACACGTGGCACACGTGCAAGGCAAGGCACGCGTGGAAGGCCTCAAAAACAGAGGCATTGAAGGGGCCCAGGGGGACTATTCTAAAGCCCCGCACACGTCAAAGGCCGGGGGAGATGCAGATGGATTTTTTTTTTACATCCTGCACACGTGAAGACACTAATTAACGCCACACGAGTGCACACGAAGACCAGGGTTAAATAGACGCATTTAAGGCCGTGTACGCATTAAGGATCCAACTTAAAGGGAAAAGGGACCCGGCAGACGAAGCGAAGGCTCGGGAACACGTGCACGGATTAAATCCGAAACCTGAAGCGGTACAAATAAAAAATCAATGCGCGTCCCACCCCAACGAATTGTCAGGCGTCACATTAAATATATGTTAAGGCCCCTTCACGCGAACGCTTGAAGGCCCACGACAAATGAATATAAATCAAGGACCAAGATAGTTACACTTAACATCCTGAACGCGTGGAAGGAGGACGGGCCTCGGATAAATTAATTCCACACGAGCTCACAAAACAAGAAAGCCAGGGGACACAAGATCAAATGCATGCCCGGTACAAAAATTAAGAATGAAAGGGGGCCCCCCCCCCCCCATGCCACGTGAAGGGCTCGGGGGGAGCCGCACGAGACGAGCGCACGACACATGCGAGATCCGGGACGCAACCTTTAAGAGACATCGCGGCGCGATTAATAAAAATGGAACAAAGAGCGGCCCGCTAGGAGGTGGAACACTGGGGGAGGAGGAGGGGGGAACGCACGAAAATCCCAGAGGTGTAAACCAACAAAGAGCCGCGCTGGCCAAGGGATACCAAGCGAAGGCCGCGGGTCTCGTGGAGGCCCCGAACGGCCACCACGTGGCAGGAGCCGCCTGCACCGCGCGTCTCCCGCCAAGCTCCGCAAGCCCAGGGGTCACCCCTCGTGTCGGCTTCCACACACCACCCATCTTTACATCCCCTTAAGCCACGCTTCTCACCCCCCCCCTCCTCCTCCTCTCGTAGTTCCCGGCGCTCCCGCTCAACTCCTGGGGCGCCCTGGCCCTGCCCCCGGGAACACGTGCCACAGCCTCGTCGGGCAGCCCGGTGCGGAGACGCCGGTCAGGCCACCGCTGACGGCGGCGGTGGTGGTGATGGTAAACCCACCGCCCCCATCCACCCAACATTTGCCTCGGCGCCCATTACCGATGATTTTCTTCTCGGCGACCGCCGGCCGGGGCTTCTCGGGCTGCGCCGCGGCCTCGCTCATGGTGGTGGTGGAGGTGGAGTCGGAGCGGTGCGGCGCGGCCTCGTCCCTGCGTGAAATGGCGGCTCGCCTCCGCCTCTTGTCCCCTCGTGCGTCCTGACGTCACCTCGCGGGTGCGGGGAGCGTGGTGACGTCATCGCGAGCGCTGGTGGGGTGGAGGGTAACGCCGCGCGAATGACGCGGTGACGTCACCGCGGTGCGGAGAGCGCGGTGACGTCGCGACGTACGGAGAGCGACGGGCGGGAGTCACGGCGCGCGGATGACGCGGTGACGTCACGACGGTGCGGGGAGCGGTGGCGACGTCACGCCCCGGAGATAGCGTGGTGACGTCACGACGTACGGAGCGCGGCGGCGACGTCACAACGCATGTGCAGCGTTGAGACGTCACGGCGTACCGAAGTGCGTGGTGACGTCACGCCGCAACGTCGGAAAACGGGACAGTCGCCGGGGCGCAATCGTTCGCAATTGGCAGATCAATCAACAACCAATAAACAATCAATTAACAATCAATCAACAATCAATCAACAACCAATAAACAATCAATTAACAATCAATACACAATCAATAAACAATCACTCAACAACCAATAAACAATCAATCAACAACCAATAAACAATCAATCAACGAAACGTCGTGAGAATATTATTGTTATTTTATTTTATCAATTTATTATTTTATTCTCATTCTACGTGACTTTACCGAAAGAACCAAAGAAGATGAATCAATCAACAACCAATAACAACCAATAAACAACCAATAAACAATCAATCAACAATCAATCAACCATCAATCAACTTTATTGCTATGGAAGGCTCACAGGCTGATGGCCTTTAAATGAAGTGGCTTTATGAATGATCTATAAATCTCCAAACACACCCCACCACGTACTCTCTTCTTCATAACGATCACGGGCCGTCCACTGTGTACACACTTGTTCGAGTTTTGGTTGCAGAGGAGCGGAGGGGCCGCGGCTTAGCTCCATGGAGCCGTCGAAGCGCGTTCGATCCCCGCGGGCTCTGGGCACACAATGACCGAACGACCGCCTCAGCACATTCGTCAACAACAAAAACACCGCGTCGAGGAACCGGCCCTCACACAATTGCCCAAGGGGACGTCCATAAATGACGTCACGCACCTAGGGGGGGAGGAGGAGGTGGGGTCAGACATTTGTGACGATGCGTGACGAGGGGGGTGGGGTTGAGAAATGTGACGTCACATCAAAATGTGCAACTTTAAATAAACATTATCAACACGTTTTATTCTAGATTTGAAGCTTTCGTGACTGCAAGGATCCATGCTCTTTGGTTCTATTCGGTAAAGTCACGTAGGTAAAAAATAAAACAACAAAAATCACGACGTTTCGGCCACAACACAAGTGGCCTTCATCAGGTGAAGGGACCGTGCTGTCACGAAGGCAGCGTAGGAATTAAGAAAGTCAAGCCAGGTCGCGTTCTTTAAGCTGTGTGGGAGGAAACCAAACGCTTTGACAAAGGAATTAGCATAATGTGCTGATAGAGCACCTAACACGAGGGGGAGGGGAGTTTACAAACGTTGTTTCGAAGGGAAATACGCTGCTGTGAAAGTTTGGAATATCACTACTTGGATAAATATACTGTACCATTGAAAATTAGTTTCATGTTTGGTATGATTTAGAACATCTTTCCAATGATTGCTTAATTTGAAACCATCTTCTCGGTTGAAATTGTGTCTGTGTTAGTAAATCTGAATTGCCTCGTGGACAAATCTCTGATGATAACCTATAGGTTTGCAAAGGACCTTGGTATCGGAGAACACTATATCGTGATCACCCACAGCGTTGTAACAGTGGTCAGCCACGGCAGAAGAATTTGAGAGGAGACCTGATGGCTCATTGGGGCATTCTGTCTACAGGACACACAGATTCCTACTTGAAGCCTGATTCCCACCACTACCCAGCCCAAAATAATTATCTCATCAAAACGTTATACCACAGGGTTCATTGCATGTCGGACCAACACCACCTGACCAGTGAATTAAAACATGTACACCTGGCCCTCAAGAGAAACGGATACTCTGACCGTACCATCCGCCAAGCTGTTTCTCCCTCCCTACAGAAACAACCACTTGATACTCTGGTCAAAACCATCACACTACCATATATAGCAGGCGTTACAAAAAAGATTTCCAAAATTCTAAACAAACACAAGATCCTGGTCCGGTTCAATACAGTACACAAAATCCGTGACCTGATCCCATCCGTGAAGGATGTCATTCCTGACTTACAGTACCCCGGGGTTTACAAATTGAGCTGCACTTGTGGTGATTGCTATATCGGGGTGACGAAGCGACATGTTTCTGACCGAATTCGCGAGCACAAATCAGATTTGAAACACGGCAGAACGAATTCTTCTGCCGTGGCTGACCACTGTTAGAACGCTGTGGGTGATCACGATAAAGTGTTCTCCAATACCAAGGTCCTTTGCAAACCTATAGGTTATCATCACCCTGTTAGACTCCCCAGTAAAAATTGTAGAGTCCTTCCGCTTCCTGGGCACTATTCTCTCCCGGGACCTCAAGTGGGAATTGAACATCAGCTCCCTCACCAAGAAAGCTCAACAGAGGATGTACTTTCTACGGCAGCTGATGAAATTCAACCTGCCAAAGACAATGATGGTGCAATTCTATACAGCGATCATTGAATCCATCCTCACCTCCTCCATAACCGTCTGGTACGCTGCTGCCACTGCCAAGGACAAGAGCAGACTGCAGCGTATCATCCACACTGCTGAGAAGGTAATTGCCTGCAATCTACCGACCCTCGAGGACCTGCACACGACAAGGTCTATGAGGCGAGCGAGGAAGATTATGGCCGATTTCTCCCACCCTGGACACTCTCTGTTTCAGCTACTCCCCTCCGGCAGAAGGCTTCGGTCCATCAGGACCAAAACCTCACGCCATAAAAACAGTTTCTTCCCATCTGCTGCTGGCCTGTTAAACAAGGCCAAGGGCTAACACTGTTTTTAACATTTGATCTACATAACGACACGTTGCTGATATTAACTATGTTTCCCTATTTGTATTTTTAAATTATATCTTAAAGCTATTTTATATTCGATATTTATTTAATTTTATATACTTCAGCCCCTTAGTGTTAGACTTTTAACCCTTATTATAGTAAGACTTGTTTAAAACTTATTTAAGATTTTAGATTCCTATATGTTGCATGTATGCACCATCCTGCCAAAGTAAATTCCGTGTCGGTGTGAACTTACATGGCGAATAAAACCCTTTCTGATTCTGATTCTGATCAGAGATTTGTCCACGAGGCAATTCAGATTTACTAACACAGACACAATTTCAACCGAGAAGATGGTTTCAAATTAAGCAATCATTGGAAAGATGTTCTAAATCATACCAAACATGAAACTAATTTTCAATGGTACAGTATATTTATCCAAGTAGTGATATACCAAACTTTCACAGCAGCTTATTTCCCTTCAAAACGACGTTTGTAAACTCCCCTCCCCCTCCCCCCCGTGTTAGGTGCTCTATCAGCACTTTATGCTAATTCCTTTGTCAAAGCGTTTGGTTTCCTCCCACACAGCTTAAAGGACGCGACCTGGCTTGACTTTCTTAATTCCTACGCTGTCTTCATGACAGCACGGTCCCTTCACCTGATGAAGGCCACTTGTGTTGTGGCCGAAACGGCGTGATTTTTGTTTTTAATTTTTTACCTACGTGACTTTACCGAATAGAATTAAAGAGTACAACACGTTCTACTTAATTAAATACTTTTTTAATAAATGTTTTCTCCTACAACATCAGAGTGCAGCGCCACATTAAATGCGCACTACAATGACAATAGTTTAAAGTTATTTGAAGCATGTTTGATTTTTTTTGGGGGGGAGGGGGGCAGAGCTTTGTGACGTCATAATTGAGGGGGGGGCTGACTTTTTGTGACGCCGTGTGACGAAGGGGGGGGGGGTCAAAAATCGTCCAAAATCGCCTGACGTCATTTATGGACGGCTCCCAAGCTCTGCGGGTCCTCTCCATACCGAGATGGTCTCGGCCGATGAATGAGCCTTCACATGCTCGAGGAAACCGGAGAAACTTGGGAGAAACCCCACGGGGGTGGGAGGAGAAACGCTCGATCCCGCACAGACGGGACAGGCGTCGTCTGCTGGCGAGCCAGGGTACGCCCACCCACGGGGAAGGGAATTTCACATCTGTGTGTGCGTGTGCGTGATCCACCAACCCTGGCCTGCTGCCTTCCAGCGTGCGGTATTACATCAGACAAGCCACGTGCATTGCCCAATCACGGGCCCGCTGATTAATTTATGTGCGAAAGGTTTGGGAAATGATTTCATCATCATCATTATCACGATCCATGGGCACATCGCCAGTAGGTGTTCACTGCACATTTCGTCATTTGTTGTCACTTTCCTCCTCCGTCTCGTGCCAATAGTCTCAAGTAGTGGTCGCATCTTTTTGGCACCGACCTCTCTTGTCGTCATCAAGACATTCTCTTCTTTGGTTCTTTCGGTAAAGTCACGTAGAATGAGAATAAAATAATAAATTGATAAAATAAAATAACACAATAATATTCTTATTGTGTTATTTTATTTTATCAATTTGTTAATAATATTCTTATTGTGTTATTTTATTTTATCAATTTATTATTTTATTCTCATTCTATGTGACTTTACCGAAAGAACCAAAGAAGATGAATCCTTGCAGTCACGAAAGCTTTAAATCGAAATTTAATACATTCTCTGTTAGGTCTTCATATCTTTCCTATTCCTTCCATTTTTCCGAATAACAACAAGACACTTTTAATTTTCCTGTTGTTCATCCAACACGTATGTCAAAATAGTTACAGTTTCATTCTCATCACTGTCTGCATCACAGACCTGTCAACCCATACGGTGTGCCCCGTATTCTTGTACAGGGACATTGCGTTTTCATGTCCATGTGGCACCACAGCCGTTTCCATCCGGGCACATTTTTTAGTCTTTGTGTGTTCTCCCTTGTGATGGGACTCAAGGATGAACGTTGAGATTTATAAGGGCACGGGGTGACCAATAAGATCTGAATCGGTCTGTAATAAGGTAGGCACTGATAAGGGGTTGACAGGTATGTAGTGGTGAGTGTACTCGTGGTGAGTAGTGGCGAGTGTACGAGTGGTGATTGTCTATTTGTTTGTGTTTCTCCCTTGTGTTCGGACTTTGTAGGATGAACGTTGAGATTTAATGGCACGGGTTGACCGATAAGGTCTGAGTCGGTCTGTAAAAGGGGGTTAAGGCATCATCAGGTTGCCTTCTTCTATGCGCCAACTTTGTCTCACTTCCACGCTGGTCACTCTTTGGGAAGGCGATTTAGGTCACGGTAAATTTGGGCGGCGAAAGACAAAATCCGAAGACCGCCGTTGAAGCAAAAAAAAAATCCGCGGCACGCAAACAAGAACAGCGACGACTCCCGTTGCCACGAAAAGTCGACGTTTATTGCCTCCCTCTCGTCAGTCGACCTTACATTGCAGCACGGCGATAGGCGGCGATCTCCAGCGGCCGAAACAGACGGAACAGTTCGTAGATACCGCGGGGCGAGTTCGCGACATCCACCACGGGACGAATGGAGTTGCACGCACAGCCCCGCAGTATCGCGACGACACGCGGATCATTCACACGTCGCACAAGAGCACGTTTCATTTAGACACTTTCAAGGTTATATGCGTGTAATTTATAATGTGTGTGTGTGTCTTTGTGTGTGTGTGTGTGTCTTTGATGCGTGTGGAGGGAGCGTCGCTGCAGCGGTTAACACGCTGCGCTTTGCTACGAACCCGGCGTGCCGCGTTCGATTGCCGCTCACGATCAATACGAGTGCGAGTGAATATTTGAATCGGTCCCTGAGCCTGCTCCTAAGTCAGCTCAGCCTTAAAATGAGTACCTGATGTGGTGTATAAACGTCAACACCGGGGGGGACGAAGGCAGCCGGGGTAGGGTTTTGGCCACCCACCCCAACTTTTGTGCCATGCCGACCTTCATTGGTGCACGCTAACAGGACCTGGCCCCAAACAGCCTTTTAAAGGATATGGGTTTGGGGGGGTCTTTGTCTTCGTGTGTGCGTGTGTGTTTGTGCGCGTGCACGTTTTTCTAAAATACAAAATGGCACAATTTGTAGAGCAAGACATGCTTGTTACGATTGCAGTATTACAAATGAGTGTTGACGATTCACATGGATGACATAACAACAAAATACACTCGGTTATTATTCACCATCATCAGCTACGATAAATCCACTGCTGGATGGAGCCTCCTGCCCTAAAGCCGCCGGCCGCCACTGTCGCCAAAATCCCTTCGCGATCCTGCGATTAAATAATCCACCCCGGCACCTCCACAGCCACTCATTTCATCGCTCCATCTCCTGCCCGGGGGCCGCCATCATAATTTCTCGACTATCGTAATCACAATAATTATTAAAGACATTCATCATCACGATACCTGATTTATTAGTAAAGTTATAGCCGTACGACAAGAAACGCGCACCAGACTTTCCCATCCAGTCCAATGGGGCAGAGCCTTTGCTGCGTTGAACCAAACCACCGTTGCCCACCTCAACGTCCATCCACCCCATCCCATCTCAACTTCCATCCCATCCCAACGTCCATGTATTCACCCCATCCCAACGTCCATCCCAACTTCCATCCATCCCATCTCAACTTCCATCCATCCCATCCCAACGTCCATGTATTCACCCCATCCCAACGTCCATCCCAACTTCCATCCATCCCATCTCAACTTCCATCCCATCCTAACGTCCATGTATTCACCCCATCCCAACGTCCATCCATCCATCCCAACTTCCATCCATCCCATCCCAACTTCCATCCATCCCATCCCAACGCCCATGCATTCACCCCATCCCAACGTCCATCCATCCCACCCCCATCCCAACGTCCATCCATCTCATCCCCTGCTGAATCCTCTCCAAGCAGCGGAACGAGATCTGGAGAAGTCCGTGGCATCAACGTCCGAGCGAGCGACCGAGCGAGTAGGGACATCACGGGAAGTGCGTGAGTGTCATTGCAGTGCAGCTTGAGTCCATCCTCGAGTTCCCCCCACCCCACCACCCTCCAGAAAATATTCTCACGAGCTTCAATTATATTAAACTGCCTTTGTGCATATACTAATTTACATTTCCACCGCGTGCAATCAATGCCGTGCCTTTTTGTTGTCAATCTGTTTTGTGTTTTTTTTCTTCCACCTGATGTTGATGACCGATTGCGCCAACGCGCGTCGCGTCACGAGACGGAGAATTCGGATCTCTCGCGGAGCAGTGCGACGATTCGTGACGGGGGAAGGGCCCGCTGAAGCAGATATCACAGAGCTACCGTCGGACGTTGTTTTCAGCGACCTCTGGTCAACTAGCACAATATATCTGCCACGCGCGAGCGAGTTTTATTGCACGAGAGTCAAACGGATAATTTAATCCTTTGGAATTTATCCAAATGAAGTGCAGAAATAAATGTATTGTTTTTTCTATTTTTTTTTGTGCAGCCATTTGGTGACGGAGGACCATCCACTCACCCGGGTGCTTATTTTTAATCTCAGTTAAACAATCACTCTGGCCGGAACAAAAAAACATTTATCGTCAAACCTCACCACCAAGGGACACGTCCTTCTCATTTCTCCACCTTCTTGGATTTCCTGTGCTGGATCATCTCCAGCTGCCAGCTGGGCAGAGTGTTTCCCGTCGCGCTGGGCATCTGCGGGGGCGCCACTACTGCCGACCGGACCTGGCCATTCTTCTCAGCAGATTTAATGCTACCGCGGGCGCCGGCACCCAAGGCTTTTCCACCACCACCGCCACTGATTGGTGCTGCTCCCTTGCCTTCACCTGGTAGTGTCACCACCGGCCTGATCTGGCCGTTCATCCCAGCGCCAACAGCACCACCGCCACCACCGGTCGGTGCTCCCCCCTTGACCGTGCCGGCCGTCATGCCTCCGAATTCCTTTCCGTTCGCGCTCCGGATTTTGAAGCTGGCCCCCCCGCCAGCCGGCCCAGCCGCCTTGGTGTTGAGCACCTGCCCGATAGCGACATTACTCCCACCCGCTGCTCCAGTGATGGTGGTACCTCCTCTGCCACCCCCGCCAGGCGTCACCACCCATCCCCCTCCTCCTCCGGGATTCAAATTCATCCTGAGTCTGGAGGCGTCCCCGCTACCGCCGCCGCCGCTACCATCCGTGACGTCACCTCCGGAGTTGGGTCCTGCCCTGGTGGTGGTTGTTGTACCGGCAGAACTGATGGTGAATTTACTGGCAGCGGAAATGCTGGTGGGTCCACTGAAGGAACTGGCGGTCGTAGATTTACCGGCAGCAGAATTTGCGGTGGGTCCACCGAAGGAACTTGCGGTCACAGATTTACCGGCAGCGGAATTTGCAGTGGATCCGCCGAAGGAATTTCTTGTCGCAGAATTACCGGATGCAGAATTTGTAGTGGCTCCACCGAAGGAACTTGCAGTCACAGATTTACCGGCAGCGGAATTTTCGGTGGATCCACCAAAGGAATTTCTTGTCCCAGATTTATCGGATGCAGAATTGGCAGTGGCTCCACCGAAGGAACTTATGGTCGCAGATTTACCAGTATAGGAATTGGCGGTGGGTCCACCGAAGGAATTTGCGGTTGCAGATTTACCGGTAGCGGAATTTACGGTGGGTCCACCGAAGGAATATCTTGCGACGGATTTACCGGCAGCGGAATTGGCAGTGGGTCCACCGAAGAAACTTGTGGTTGCAGATTTACCGGCATTGGAACTGGCGCCGAGCCCACCGGCCGCGGTGGGACTGGTAGGGCCGTAACTGGAGCTGTAGGATTTCGGCACACCATTGGCTGTCGGTTTGGTGCCAGCTGCGCCGCCATTGGCCATGTGGTCAACACAGGGTGTGGCTTTGACCGTGCCATTGACCGCGTTGGTGGGGTTGGTGGTGACACCGCCGGCCTGCGCCCCGGCACCGTCCACCCTCTGCGGCGCGGCATGCGTTTCCGTCATGTGTGCGTTGTCGTTCAGGCTCTGTCGAAAGACACGTGCAGGAGGGGCAGGGTGGAGGAATGAGATATTGCATCGTCGGCGCGCTTCATTCGATACACGGGAAAGCTTACCCAACGCCGTTTTATCGAACGCTCGTTTTGGCTCGACGCGGTTTGCTTCACGAGGGCACCTCCGCGTTGAAAAGTAGTGCCGCGTCCGTCGGAAGGTGCGGATGAATTGACTGCGAGAATGATTTATTTACCACGTATGTTGTTGCGCGTGTACATTTTTCGCGTATAGTTTATTTGCACAATAATGTAACTCGTACTCAACACACATAACGACACAGCGCAAGTGTTCACATCGTCGAATGCATCTAGCCGTCCGCTCGTTAAACAAAGAGGCATTTTGCAGGAACGCAACCCGCCCCCACCCCACCCCCCCCCGTATTGCTGTAAGAATTATGATCACGCTTGTTTCCCCAGGAACGCTTCACCAAGTCTCAGGACTTTATTTTTAATTGGAGGACTCTCGCAAGATGTCACAGCAGGGGGCGCGATCATGCCGCTACTGCTGCTGCAGCTGAGTGTAGCATTGGGATGTTATAGGCAATACCAGTCAAATTGTGTGCATGCGTGTGTTTATTTTCAGCTATGGGAGGAAAGCGGAGAACCTGGTGGAAACCCGTGCAGAACAGGGGGAGAGCATACAGACTCCGCACACTCACCCACTCATTCACACTCTACATAACAAGGGGAGAACATACAAAATCACCCACTCACTCACACTCTACGTAACAGGGGGAGAACATACAAAATCCAGCACAGGAAGGCGACCTGGGTCGGAAATCGAACCCAGGCCCTCCTTCCTGCTGCGAGGCATGGGTGTTACCCCTGCGCCACCACCCGATGTCACGAGTCCGTGAGCAGCATTCACATTTCCTGCTTTTAGGAGCGGCCAAACAAGCGGAGCTGTCGCGCTCGTGCTGCCATGTCGTCCCAGCAGCCGATTGCCTTACCCACCTTGCGCACACAACAAAGACAAAAACCCCCCATCCCCCCCACCCCCGTATAGCCTTCACACACTGTTGGGGCAAGTGCTGTTAGCGAGTAGCACCGCTGCAGGCCTGCACGGCACACGAGGGGGTGGGTGGCCAACACCACACCCGGGCCACCTTTGTATCCCCAGTGGCGACATTTACACATCGCACCGGGTACTCATTTGAGGACCGAGTCAACACACGCCGAGAGAAAGGTACAGGTGACGGGTAAAGGTGAAGCCCTGCAATTTCCCGCTTACGCCACCGCTGGCGGAAAGGGGCCTCCACTCGAGGGGGCCTCCCCAGGCCTACTCTTCCACGCAGGCCAGACGTCTCCGAAGGGGTCGGAGTCCCCACACTATAGCCCCACCAACCTGGACACGGATGCCCAATTTCGCAGACTGTCCGGGTCAAACCAGCACGTGGCCAAGTCAAACCCGGGCAGGTGGCAAACTCATCCAAACCGGTCAGACGTCCTTGAAGGGGTGAGGGTACCCACACAGCACGCGACCTGCCCATTGGCTAACCAGCGGGGGTACCCTTTCTACACCACGGGTTCAGATGCCACACCGGGAGATGGGATTGAACCTCCGTGACCCCTGGATGTGAACGTCCAGTGGCGCCACTCGCCATATTCCAGTTCACCAGAGGACAAGTGCTGCTACCAAGCACCCATCAAACACACGAACAGCAAACAAGGATGTGGCTGCAGCGGTCACCTATATACAACACACAGATACCCCTGGATAGCCTTACAGACTGTTGGGTGCTAATGCTGATAGCGAGCACCTATTAATACAGTGCTGATGTTGACACACCAACCCGGGTATTGATTTAAGGCCGAGTCGACCCGGAATCGAACTCGGGTCACGGGGTTCGTAGCGCAGTGTGATAACCACCACGCTACTTTTACAAAGACAAAGATCTCCTCCTTTACCTTAACAGACTGGAGGAGCAAGCGTTGCTTGCGAGCACCTACCAAGGTTGGGACAGCACACGAGGGGGTGGGTGGCCAGCACCACGCCCGGCCGCCTTTGTCTCCCTAGTGCCGATCTTTACACACCGTACCAAATACTCATTTAAGGCTGTGTCGATCTAGGGGAGGCCCAGGACCTGTTCATATAATCGTTGCCGGTGTTGGTGGCCGTGAGAGAGAATTAAACTCGGGTCGCTGGGTTTGTAGCGCGGCACGCTAACCGCTAACACTGCCGCTCCCCCCCCAACGCACACGCGCTAAGATCCACCGCATTGACTGACACACTGCTGGGGCAAGTGCTGCTTGCGAGCACCGATAAATGAAGGCCGATGTTAACTCCCTCACCAGGTTTACGGGAGAGTCGTGGGTTCAATACCAATATTATAATTGTTCTAAAGTGTCTCTAAATAAGGCGCTGCTCTCTTGAACCTGTATAAGATAGTACGCGACTATTTATTTTCAGCTATGGGACGTCTTCACGCGAGGCCGGCGTGTTATGGGTTGTGGTTGTGGTTCTGGCTGGTCACGGCAAAGAAGCCGGCGATTTTTCTCAAAAGTGAATAAATACCCCTTACCGTCGGAGCCCTGCGCTGGCTCGGCTCCGACGTGCCAGTGGAAAAGTACGCGCGTGGAACCGGCCACCGCTGCGACCGCTCATAGCCACTCGGCCACCCGGTGCCCCTACCCCCACCCCCCCTCCCCCCCCCGAGCCGTAAACAACCCGGGGCCTCACCGTCTGTCCCCGGCCGGAGAACACCGTGGTGACGGCCTTGCTCTTGGCGGTGGGGCGCAGCACGCGGCCCGCCTTGAGCTCCTGCAGCAGCGCGTCGTTGGGCCCCGGCGACTGCATGTTGAACACGGGCATGCTGGCTGCGCGGGGTGCCGGGGTGGGGGGGGCGTGGTGGGTGTGGGGGTCCACAGGACAAGGGGGGGCGCAAACAAGAGGAGAAAACGATTCATGGGAACTCGAGTGCGACACAGCCCTCGCCGCGTTGTTGTTGTGACGCGGTTCGACGATTTTAGTCGGGGTATCTATGAATGGATCGCGCTGGGTGGGACGGTTGCCCAGAGGTAAGAGTGCCGAGCCGGCAACTATTGGGGTCCCGGGTTCGAATCCAGATTTCAACTGCCCGTGATACAAGTGGTTTCTAGAGTCCAGCGAGTTGATGGTCTCAACGACAACAACAACAACAAAAACCCATCGCGTTAAATTTGGCTCTGCACTTAATTGTGGCGACAATGTCCGCCCTCTATCAGTTTGGCTGTCATGTGACGAATCTGACACTCACACGGCGGAGTAGGGGGCAAAGAATTGCCCTCCGCTGTATGCGCGGTGGACTAGAGGTCACTTGAAGAAGGGATCTCAGAGGTAGCTCTGTGACATCTGCCAAATCATTGACACGTCTTTCCATGACCGCCGGTGCGCAACGGCAGGGAGGGGGGGGGGGGGTCGGTGGGTGTGGGTGGTGTGGGGGGGGGCTTACACGACGAGGAGGAGGAGCGGCGGGACGACGAGCCGTACGTCTCCTCCATGCTGCCGCTGCTCAGGCTGCTGCCGGGCCGCGGCCACGCCGAGCGGACGCCGTTTTCTGTTACGAGCGGCGGCAGCGGCGGCGGCGGCGGCGGCGGCGGTGGCGGCGGCGGTGCCGGCAAGCCGGGGGGCGGCGGTGCCGGCACGCCGGGGGGCGGCGGGATGTCGGAGTCGAGATCCACGGCGGCCGCGGAGCCAGGGACGACGGCCTCCCTTCCGTCGGCGCGATCGCCGCCCGGGACGTCCGGACGGTTGTCGGCCGTCGTCGGCACGCGGGCGGCGGCGGCGGCGGAAGGGGCGGCCGGCGGAGGGTGGCTCGGAGGGGCCGGGATTTTGGCGACGGGCATGGCGGTGGCGTGGAAGGCGGAGAATTTTGGAGCGGAGGCGGTGGGCTTTGCCGTCGAGCCGGGGCATGCACGGGGGGGCGCCCCGTCCGCCGACTCTCCCTGCGTCACCTCCATCCACTGCTGGGAGAGGGTCGCCCGCTTGCCAGCGGAGGGCTGCTGGGCAGCATGCGGGCACGGAGGGGGGGGGGGCGAGACGGCCACGTTAGCAGTGGCACCGCACGCGTGCCCACGGGGAGAGGGGGTCTGGCCGCTGGGCCGTGCGCACGCCGCTCAATCCAGATGCGTTTTTGGGCGTTTCTGCGTTTTTCTCCGCGTGCCGGGAGCTTCATGCAGCAACCGAATTCACGAACTGAAGTTGCTTGTGATTAAAATCACGTTCTCAAGTACAGCAGCGAGTTGATGGTCGCCTCAGCCCAGTCACCGATGACTGCACAAAAAGGACATTTAATTTTGGTTTTGCGCTAATTTCCCATTAAATTCCAGCTCTGAGAAATAAATATTGGTTTGACAGTCACAAGATGAGCACTACTCTCATATGCAGAGCGAGTTACAACGCACCGCCTTCTGTTGCGCTGAGGGATGTCAGACGCAGCTCTGTGATATCTGCTTCCACTGGCCGTAAGCGGATATCGAAGAGTGCCAGCGCTGTGCGAGCGTTCTGAATCGATGGCTCGTCTCTTGGCATAACGCCGACAGCACAATCGGGATACAACCGAGTACAAGATTTAATTAAAAAACACACAACCCATGGGCTTCTGGACTCGCACGGATCGAACTCGGTAAGAAAGTTTCCGCACACACAAAGATAAAAATCCCCCCATATAGCCTTGACCAGACTGTTGGAGCAAGTGCTGTTAGCGAGCAGCACCCATGAAGGCCGGCGTGGCACACGAAGGTCGCCTTTGTCTCCCCAGTGGCGACGTTTACACACCACACCAGGTACTCATTCGAGGGGGAATTGACCCAGGGGAGGCCTGGGACAAGTTCAAATAATCATCACCGGTGTTGGTGGCCGTGAGCGGGAATCGAACTCGGGTTGCCGGGTTCATAGCGCAGCGCGCCAACTGCTATACTACCGCTCCCCATGACAATCGTCACACACAGAAAAAACAACCCAAACTAAACGGTCGTTCAATTTCTCCGTCACCTTTCCGTTGAGCTTGGCGGCAGCGGCGGCGGCGTCCCCCTCCTCGGCGCCGTTTTGCCGCTCGAGCTCCTGCTTCTCGCGGCCCGCCTGGATGCGGCTGAGAGTCCGCGGCTTCTGGAACCCGGGGATTCGGCGGAGGCGCGCTTGCTCGAGCACCGCCGGCGTGAGCTGCGGCGGGAGGGGGCCGAGGAGCCAAGCGGTCAGAGTCCACGCGGCTGCCAACGGCCGACGGCGTCGCCAGGGGCTGGCGGCGACAGGCGAGCTCCTCAACTCCCGCCCCGCGCCGCCTTTGTCCACCCAGCGGCTTGCTCAGACCGGGACGCGCGTGGTGGCGGGGTTAAAGTGTGGGTGTACACTCCACCGCCGCCCCAATAGCACAAAAAAGCAGGCTAGCATGGAAGAGGAGGCCAAAGTACCCTACTATCTCTCCACTAGGAGGGTCTCTCTCTCTCTCGAGCTCATCTCAGTGGAGGCCCCCGCCAGCCAGCTCTGGCGTGGGTGAGCAATTGCTTGGCCGCGCCTTTATTTAGATGTTGCAAAACGGCAATGATTGGCACGTGGCTTTTAAAAGTACACACACGAAGACAAAGACCCCCCCCCCTCTCATAGCCTTAACAGACTGTTGGGGCAAGTGCTGTTAGCGAGCACCCTGTGAAGGCCGGCACGGCACACGACGGGGTGGGTGGCCAGCACCACGCCTTGGCCGCACACACAACCACAGACACACACGCATTCTAGGTATTTTTTAATACATTGTCTTGTCACCTTTGGGGGCTTAACTATGGCGTTAATTTATGTTGGTGGAGGTGCTGGGGGCACGTGATAGCCAGTGGGAGGGAGGGGAGAGCGGTGGTGCAGTGGTTAGCGCTACGCTGCGCAAAGAACCCGGCTGACCCGAGTTCGATTCCCACTCACGGCACAACACCAGTGACGAATATCTGAACCGGTCCTGGGCCTCCCCTAGGTCGACTCAGCCTCAAATGAGTACCCACCCCCTCGTGTGCCGAGCTGGCCTTCATAGGTGCTGCTCACTAACAGAACTACCCCCAACAGTCTGTCAAGGCTACACGGGGGATCTTTGATCTTTGGGGATGTGGTACTTGGAGGGAGGGGGTGGGTGTCGTGGGGGTAGGGGGGGCAGGGGGCAGGGAGCGGGGGGGGTTTGGGGGGGTTTGTGCTGAGGCTGAACTGGCCAGTTCTGCAGAGGAATGCGCACAGGGCGAAGGTACGAACGCCCACGCCCGAGCCGTCCATTCAAACCGGCTTCCTCATCAGCAACGCAGGGCTTGACACCCATATCGTGTTCGTCTGTATAGCCGCCAAGCGCGAAAGCCGTCCCCGAGCGCAGTTCCGAAACCGATCGAGGTTGCCTTTGTTTCACAAATGAGGAAGACTCGGCATTGCGCAATGGCGAGAGATTGATGATAAGGTAGAGGAGCGGCCCTGCAATTGCCCACTTTCACGCCACTGCTGGCGGAACCAACCTCACCACCAAAAACGACTGACAAAGGTGAGCTCGAGAGAGAGAGATCCCCCCCACCCTCCTCCGGAGGGTATTTTTGGTCTACTCTTCAACGCCGGCCAAATGTATTTCAAGTTGTGGGACTTACCCACACTTTACCCCACCGCCACACGTGACCTGCCGATAAACCTACCCGCGGTGAAGCCAATGTACACCGCTGGGTGGATAGAGACGTTGGGGCTTGAAGAAATTCACCCCCCCCCCCCCCCCCAATGTTTCAACTGCCGCGTTTGGAGATCGAGTCCAAGCGACGACCTCTGGATTGCAAGTCCACCGAGCCAACCGATAAATCACGGCAGCGTGTGTGCGATATAACGCTTATTTGCATGCGCGTGCGTTTGTGAGTGCGTGTGCGTGTTCGTGTAAACATCAAGCAACGCCACTGGGGAGGTGCGGCGTGTAAACATCTCCACTGGGGAGGTGCGGTGCGCAAACATCGCCACTGGGGAAACAAAGGCGGCCGGGCGTGGTCGCTGCCCACCCACCGCTTGCGTGTGCCCTGCAGGCCCTCACTGACGTTGGGCGAAAAAAAATGACATACGATGCAGGAACCTCCGAACCATTATTCATTCTAACGAGTGAAGGCCATCCTCGGTCAATGAGTAATTTCTTGCGATTTGTGCATTTTCTACCCATCGACCGAGACCTCGGCGATGCCACTCGCCGCTGACTACTCGAGTCTCGATCGCGCTGCTACCGCCGCCGCCATCACCGCCACCAGAATCTCATCCACATCCAGGAGGGCACTTGGCGGGCAGCGAGCAACGACGCGGACGTCCACAATGAGCGGCTGAGCGGAGACCCGAACACCGCACCTCCTGGCGTCGACATTCCTCGAATACGCCGGGGTTCGCATCAACCGCGTGGGAATATGAATTGGCGGCACGCGCAACTCCTTCATGAATGGGACATTTAAGGCAAGCCACAAAAGCGCGATTGTGGCCACGCAGCGACAAACTATTAACTATATAGTGCACCCGCAGAGACTCAAGGAGATACATAGAGACTTAGAGATACATAGGGACCCATAGAGATGCATAGAAACGCACGAGATACATTAGATATACATAGAGACATATAGAGATACATACAAACCCACAGAGATACAGAGACACGCAGAGAGATACATAGAGACCCATAGAGATGAATTCAAGACAAGCCACAGTCGTGTGAAAGTGGCCGTGCGACCCAAACTGTGGACCACAAACTAAACCACTGCCGTCTGCGGAGGAGGAAGAACAGCGACACGACACGAACTTCCCCTGCCAAAGCCCTCTCGTCGTGGCCAGCAGCAGCAGCTGCAGACCTTGACATTGGCATCGAGCTCCTGAAACATCTTGCTGCTGCTGCCATTAGCACGTGCAGGAATACCAACATATGGAACGATTATATCTGTGGCCAATTTAAAACCGCACCGATAGCTCACGCAAGATGGTTCGATTCTGCGACGGAGACTCACGTTTTGGCCGTGTCGGCTGAAGCTTGCGCCGCAGCAGACTGACCCTACCCCTCATGGATGTCGCAAACGCAGATGACGACGATGACAATGACGATGAAGGAATACTAATAAGAAGAAGGGGCGAGAGGGAGAGAGGCACGCTCGGCGCACCAGGAATTTAGAAAGAATGCCGTCGGGGGCGTCAAAATGCCCCCAGATCGTAAGCCGTAAAGGCCACAGAAGTAGCCTCGGGCTTTGAGGAGGAGGAGGAGGAAGAGGATGATGAGGAGACAGGTGAGCAAGGCAATGCACGGTGCGATACACTGTGCTATTATTTTAACTGCTCGCAGGAATAATACCGACTGATAATTTGGTAATGTGGTATTCACGGCATTCCTATACAGCGCAGGGCCATCACTCAGGCGCTGTGCTGTCTCACGGACGGATAGTCGGTCAAGTAGAAGATGAAAAACTCTCCAGCAGTGTGCGGCTGCGGTCATCCAGAACAGACACCGTGCAACGTATAACGATGCAATGCCCCGATCCACACACACGAGAAGGAGACATCATCGCAGCGATGATACACTCCGCTACACCTGACGCGGTTGTCTGTGCTTGACCACCTGAATGTCAAGTTGTAGTCGTTGCTCCACGTCCACATCGGCAGCCCACGCGAAAGAAGATGTCGTTCAGTTATAGGCGGCGAAGGGCCTCATGTGTCATACCAATTAGCAGCGTCCCACCCTGCTGGCGGATGATATCCGTGTGTAGTTCCAAGTCGAGTCATTTTCGGTGTCATTTAATCGAGACCGTGACGCAGTCACACAAACACGGCCGACCCGTTTTGGATATCGTCACGGGGGGGGTTCTGTTTATGTCAACTGCGAAACTGACGACGCACAGTTATATTTATTTATTTACAGTTAACACCACAGTAATAACCTACACTAAAACTATTCACTATTTACTTTTTTACCAAGTAGTGCCCACTGAGCTATAAAGCTCTTTTTCAGAAGCCGGCCACAAATGATAGCCCAACGAAGTGGCTTATCACGTGGACATTTATAGCAGCTGCCAAATAGTCTAAACGCGTGTTTCTTAAATGTGGAGGGAAAAACCGGAGGACCCGGAGAAAAATCCACGCCACAAATATACAGCAGGCGTCAAGGGTCGGAATCGAATTAACGACCTCCTGCATACCCGGCGAGGTAGTTAACATCTCGCCAGGAGGGGGGCATGGGACGGTTGCCCTGCAGGTGCACAGTACTGATAGAGGGGAGGTGTGAGCTTTTGCCTTTGTTGTTGTTGCAGCTAAACTGCCACTTGATATGGCGGCATTTCGGAAAATTGCTGTCATACCAACATGTTCAGATGATTGACGTCTGTATGGGACACCCGTGTTATTTCCTCAAAGCGTTGCAAAATCTATATTTATTTTGGTACTTTTGCATAGCGCCACCAGTTTTATATTTATTTCCCTTATAGATACATTCAGAATGTCCTGCTGCAGAGTTGACGGGATTCTGGACGCGTGCAGTGAAAATGCCGACAAACAGAAAAAAAAACAAAGATCCCCATTACGGTCCCTCATTTATCGCCCCCCCCCCCCTCCCTCCATCGAAGGAGGAGGTACTTGACTTCACAAACCTTTCCGATGGAGAGCCCTTGAGCAACCGGGCGAGTTCACAGGTGAACGCGCTTCCCCCTGCTGTGGTGAACCTGGGCGACCCGCCTGATTAATTCTCGGAAGTTCGAACCTCCCCTTCTCATAACGAGGGGGTGAACGCTCACGCCGCCTCGATCCGTTTTACTGCAAATCGGAAAATTTGGCTTCAACGTCGGCCCGCTCGTGTCCGCGCACTGAAAATGACCCACGACTGCTGCTGGGGTGTCAATCTTCCCATGCGGCACGATTCGGCAAACAATGAGCGTGCGTCGATGAAATACAAATTGAGTGCAACCCGACTCCGCTGTATTCTCTCGTTCGCATTGTGTTTACCTCCTGCAAATACCTCCCCACTTAGCCATGCGTGTGATGGGTTAAGCCTCCGCAGCCGCTGTATCCCTCCACACACGGCTCGGGTATCACCGACACCACCAGTGGGTGTTTTGGGTGGGTCCGTGCTAAGAATTGTTTTCTTTATGCACGATCAGTTGCATGCAGCTCGGTTTGCATGCAACTGATCAGTCGGATGTGAACTGCGATGA